TACTCCGACATATTCATTAAAAGACATAGTAAGGGTGCTTGATCTTAAAGCATAATTAATATGATGAGTCGTCGTTTTCTTCTCTTCTTTATCTATGTTATTTATAAATGGGAGTGTGCAAGAATTAAGACAGCAAATTTACTTGGTTTTTGCAGGATCACTTCTTGCTTCTGTAACAGCAGCTAATTCATTAGCAGAGTGGGCAAATGAAGGTGGTGATCCTTGTCTCCCAGCTCCTTGGTCGTGGGTCCAGTGTAGTTCAGATCTTCAACCAAGAATAACATCCATGTAAAAATTACGTTCTTTATTTTTTCTAAGGTTTTAATTTTTTTTGTTTGGGGACAAGCAATGATATTTCACACTGCCCTGTCGGTTAAAAAATCGGGGTGATTAGATGTTATGTATATATATGTAAAAAGGTGTTTGTACATTAGAATTATAAGGTTATATATATATATATATATATATATATATATATATATATATATATATATAAGGTTCTATTTTCGTTGATATAGTTACTAACTTAGACGTGGAATATGATCTATAACTGAAATTTATACGAATGTGTTTGTACCTGTACAGTAAACTGTCGGGGAAGAATTTAACAGGAACAATTCCGGTGGAGTTCACAAAGTTGGATGGCCTAGTTGAGTTGTAAGTTGCTTATTCGTTATTTGATTCGAAGATATTTTTTTGTTCATTATTTGGAGTGTCTTATAATTCTCGTTACAAACTTCTATTCATTGCAGATGGCTTGACAACAACTCACTGAGTGGTTCGATTCCCGATTTTTCTGGATGTCCTAACTTGAAAAAAATGTACGTGCAGTATAGTTCTTTCTGTGTACTTGGTTTCTTTTTTTCTTTTTTTTTTTTCCGAACAACTCGAGAATTTTTGCTCGTTTGGCAGACATCTTGAGGATAATAAGTTGACTGGTGGCCTGCCTTCTTCCTTGGCGGATTTGTCGAATTTGAGAGAATTGTAAGTTTGAAGAGCTATTTTTCTCTTTCCTTTTTGTAGTTTGTATACTCCTTGACATCAAATTTCGTTACATTTTGTATACACGTAAAAAACTGATTATAATATTTCCGACTATTCTAATTGCTAATCATGCAGGTATGTCCAAAACAATTTATTATCAGGAAAAGTGCCACCTGGTCTTCTTAACAAAGATTTGGTTTTCAAGTGAGTATATTTTAGTTTTACGTAAAGAAAGGCTTACGATGGAATTTAATGATATATGTATATAAATATATAAATATTGTAGCTATACTGGAAACACGGGTCTACGTAACGAGGGCAATGGAGGAAAACATAAAGGTGTTGTTATAGGATTATCAGTAGGTGCTGCTGTTCTGCTGCTTATTGCTGCTATTATTTCCTTCTTAATAATGTCCAAAAGAAAGAAGAATTCTTCTAAGCAAGGTTAGATACACATACTTATAAGTTATAACCGAGTTTGTATTGTATTGACGCACGTATTTTATCTTTTTTTTTTCGATTTCAGGAAAATTTCAACATGGTTTTCATGCTCAAAAGCTTACATCGTCCCTCAGCGACACTGCAACTGAAGCTGCACATTACTTCCCGTTATTCGAGATCGAGGAAGCCACTAAGAACTTTGAGAAAAAAATTGGATCGGGTGGTTTTGGGGTTGTTTATTATGGGATTTTGAAAGACGGAAGAGAAATCGCGGTCAAGATTTTGACTAATGATTCCTTCCAAGGGAAACGAGAGTTTTCAAACGAGGTACTTATCTCATTTTCTTGAATTTTTTACTTTCATTTGGAGAATGCTTTTTTTTTTTTTCGAATGGGCTTTGAATATTCGAACTTCTGTACGTACTTCATTGCAGTTATGTGACGACCTCAAATATATCGAATGTGTTTATTTAATATTGTTTTGCTAACTGAACCAGGTGTCTCTTCTTTCAAGAATACACCATAGAAACCTAGTACAGTTTCTTGGATATTGCCAAGAAGATGGAAAAAGTATTCTCGTTTACGAGTTCATGCACAACGGGACCCTTAAGGAACATCTTTACGGTGAACATTTCTCTTCCAAATACAGATAATTAAATTAAATTATTTTTTCTCAACCAAATAAATATTATGATAGGTCCATTAACACACGGAAGAGTTATTAATTGGATCAAGCGCCTCGAGATTGCTGAAGATTCTGCAAAAGGTAGGTTTATTAAATCATCCAATACACGCACCGAAAATTGGACAAAAGTAAAAACCCGAAATCATTGTCTTATGTTCTTTGTCCTAATAATGTATCAGGAATCGAGTACCTTCACACCGGTTGTGTTCCGTCAATTATCCATAGGGATTTGAAAACCAGCAATATTCTTCTCGACAAAAACACGAGAGCTAAGGTTTCAGATTTCGGCCTTTCGAAACTAGCTGTGGATGGCGCTTCCCATGTCTCGAGCATTGTTCGAGGAACCGTTGGCTATCTTGATCCCGAGTAAGCTTTTTCTTTTTCTTTATTTTTATTTATATATATATTTTTCAAATACGAAACACAATTGCAGTAACTGCCGACGCTATGATTTATGCAGGTATTACATCTCCCAACAGTTAACCGACAAAAGCGACGTCTATAGTTTCGGAGTCATTCTCCTAGAGCTAATATCCGGTCAAGAAGCAATTTCCAACGAAAACTTTGGCAGTAACTGCCGAAACATAGTCCAATGGGTACGCATTTCGTTTTCTTCTCTCAATTTTACGTTCTAATCGAACTTTATTAATCGCCTGCGATAAATCTACGGACAGGCAAAGCTGCACATAGAGAGTGGCGACATACAAGGAATTATTGACCCTTCGTTGCACGATTACGATATCCAGTCAATGTGGAAAATAGCAGAGAAGGCTTTGATGTGCGTACAGCCACACGGGAGCATGAGACCCTCGATTTCCGAAGTTATAAAGGAGATACAAGACGCACTCGCCATTGAGAAAGGAGCGGAAAATGTGAGAGAAGCGAGTTCCGATGAAATATCGAGGCACTCGGTTCACTCTTCTCTTAACTTGGGCTCGCTGGATATCGGTGCCAGTGAGCACTATTTGTCTATTGACGATGACTCGATCGCGGGACCCATTGCTCGATAGAAGTTTTCTTTGGTCTTGCCGAATTTTTTGGTTGGTGTATTGTTTTTGTGTGGCCTTGTGAGCAGAAAACTTGGTGTAGAGATGTAACTGTAAATTCCAAGGAGTTATAGGATGTTTTGTTGATCAATTTTTTTTTTTTTTTTTTAAATTTATTCCAGAGAAACAAATAGCCCCTCACTTGTATTTGGTTTGATAGTTTGATTATGATTCTTTAATAGTTATATGGTTGTGACTTGTCTGAATAAATGAATGCAATTATATAGTATGGGAATTTGCCAAATGAAAATTATCAGAGAGAGAAGGGAGGATGAGTATTCTATATTCAGTATTTTTTGTCCCACATCGGTTGAGTAAGGAAAAGTGGAGATGGCAAGTGTGTATAAATATAGCCTGGTGGATTCATAATTATTCACGCAGCCGCGCGGTAAGCACATAGCGAACTATTCTTTCGCCTTTTACTAAAGAATACCGTGTGCTTGCCGCATTCAAGCGGCATACGCCTCTTTTTGGAGGGGTTTTTCCTAATCGGGATTACCCCAACTAATCAAAGTCTAAATTTTTATTTAATTTGTAATTTAATTATAATAGTTGAACTAATTTTTCAAATTACGAAATCTATTTTTCAATTTTATTAAATTTTTATGATCTTTGTTTGATACAATATAATTTAATGTTCCAATTGAATTTATTATTCATTAAGTTGTGTTCGTGGCATAAATATATTTATTTTAGTGTTAGGTAATTTCGAGTTTTTAATTAAAAGGGTAAATTACAAATACCCCCCTGAGGTATGGTCAAATTACAAAAACCCCCCTCTTGTTTGGATAATTACATCTACCCCCTCAACTATGATTTTTTCTTAAACCTCCACCTTTATGGTGCCAAATTCAACATAGTCATCTAGATTCCGTGAAATGTGATCTAGTTTGTACTCTTTTTGTGTAAAAAATACAGTTTCCGATGCACCACAAACTGATATATACAAGCTAAAAATCACATATTATGATCATCTTGCTTCATAATGTAGAGTTTGAATGGGATAAAACGGGTACAAAAGTGATAATATTCCATATAATCTCGAAGATTCCACTAAATTTGATGAGTTGAGGGGTGGTTGTAATTATTCAAACAAGAGGGGTGTTTTTGTAATTTCACCATACCTCAGGGGGATGTTTGTAATTTACCCTAATTAAAATGAATATTTTGTTTTTTTAAGGGCAAAAAATGCATTTCTATTACCAGAAATGCCCTCAAAACGTTTCAATAGTTACAGAAACGACCCTAAAATGTTTCTGATAGATGTTCGATGCATCATAGGTTATATATTATTTATAAACTATTTAATATTATGTAGAATTGGACCTTTATATTATTTTGAAATTCTGCATTTCTCAAAGTTTTTGGGCTTTTTTTGTATCTGGGTCGATACTTTCAATTTGTTGTGGGCCAGTTTCTTCAATTTTGATTAATTACAATTCTTGAACTAATTAAATGAAAGCACTTGGGTGAAACGGCGTCGTATAAGGACCAGCGGTCTGCAAAGGGGGCACGTGGTCTTTAATAAAGGTAGCACCGTTCAGCCACCGACTCGTACGAATTTGGGTAAAAACCAACGGTGCCGATAAACCTAAATCCACTTTTTCCCCATCTCTCAATCTCAGTCGTCGTCTTCTTCCCCATTTCTCCACCCTCCGATCCTTCTCTCGCGCCAAATTCCACTAATTCGACTAATTTCAGCTCTCAGAGGTAAGCAGTTAAGCATCTTCTCTCTCTCTCTCTCTGTTTCTCTCACTGCATTTGCGCACACATTCCTATATCTGTCTATATCTTCTATGTATGTTTCGGTGACCTAGGGTTTTTGATTGAATTTTTTTCAGCTACTTTTTGACCGAATGGCGGACGGATTGTCATCACAGGAAGCTCCGGGGAGCCCCAACGGCGGCAGCCACGACAGCGGCGGCGACCTGAGTCCGCGCTCCGGTTACCGTGAGCAGGATAGGTTTTTGCCAATTGCGAATATTAGCCGGATCATGAAGAAGGCACTCCCTGCGAATGGGAAGATTGCTAAGGATGCGAAGGAGACTGTACAGGAATGCGTTTCCGAGTTTATTAGCTTCGTCACCAGCGAGTATGTGACCTTTTTTTTTTTAATTATAAATTCAGTGCTGCTTGTTTGTATGTATGCAATTTGTGATGGATTTATTGAATTTTTCTGTTTTCTCTGATTTCTGGCTTAATTTTCATTGAGTTATGTGTGTCAATACTTGCACGCGTGCAACTCTTATTCATCATTTTGTTAAGTGTGGACCGGTAGCTCGATTTTGTTGTTGTATCTACGAGAAATTGTTTATCCGTGTTATGTAAGAATCAGTATTATTGCCTATGGGATGAATCCGTACTAACTATTTTTGGAGGTCTGTTAATGAATGGATGAATGTAAATTAACGTGCGGGTGTTTTCGAGACCCTAGACTGAAAGTATATTTGGTGGCTCTGTTATGTTAGGGCAAGCGATAAGTGCCAGAGAGAGAAAAGAAAGACAATCAATGGGGATGACTTGTTGTGGGCTATGGCAACTTTAGGTTTTGAAGATTACATTGACCCTCTGAAAGTGTACCTGGCTAGGTACAGAGAGGTAAATTGTGTTCTCATGTTTTTCTCGGTCTCTTTTGAGTGTCTATTGTTAGAAATAAACTTACTTTTGCATCTGATGAGCTTATTTTCCCCTTTTTGTTTTTGAAAATCGGTTGACTTGGATTGCTCTTGATGCGTGTGGCAGATGGAGGTGAGTTTAGTGATGTATTCTGCAGGATGATTATTTCTTTTTTTCTTGTGCAAAATGTGGATCTTTACTCATGTTTCACAACAGGGTGATACAAAGGGATCGGGAAAAAATGCAGATGGATCATCAAGGAAGGATGGATTACAGCAACAAATTCCTAATTCACAATCACAGGTATCCTTTGTCGTACGCATTTTTGCTTTACTGGACTTATTTTATATTGTGATGTGTATGGATTTCAAATTACCGGCATTCTTAATTAATTAGTTCCTGCTATGTCCACAGCATGTCCACCAGGGTTCTTTTTCACAAGGCATGAATTACGGAAATGTCCAGGTACCTCAATCCCCGTGCTTCTTCATGTCATTATTGTTTATGTTTTATACAGAATGTCTAAGATGCTTCTGCTTCTGCTTTGTTTAACATATCTATGGATAAGAAGTGTAGTAAAAAGGGAAAAACAAGGTCTCGAACTTGAGAATTTAGTAACAGCAAGCAAAGTTATTTCAACAAGATCTATTTTTTGCTGGCTATTATGGTTTTGAATGGAAAGCCGAAATACTTATATTCGGCTAATCGCTCGGAACATATCTAAGTTGTACCCAACCTGAGAACACTCTATAAGTTAGCTTGGATTTAGCCGACTGTTATTTGAAGCAATGCACATAATGAAAATTTTATCCTCCTTATTTGTTTGGGTGTATTATTGTGGTTACTTCCACACAACTCAATCGAATAACTATATCTTAAGCGTGACAGTGCGTAACCGTGTTTGCAAACTTTCTTGTTCGCTATCGGTATTATCTATTTACTTTTCACTCCAGAGTTCATATAGTTACTTCCCAATCAGATTTATCATCAAATCTCTTCGTCTCTTGGATGAATGGAATTAAACTGGTGTTCTTTTTGCGTGTTAGAATTCCTACGAGTTGGTATTAAAATTCTTACTGATTTTTATTTTTCGCTTGTGTTATTCTAGCAACAAGCTCAACACATGATGGTCAAAATGCAAGGCATGGATCAGTAGCAACGACTCGTTTCTCAACCAACGCCCCGCAGCTTCATCCTGTAAGAGAGCTCACAAAGTTACAAGATGCATTACATTTGCGCTGTAAACTCTTTTTTGACGATTTACTTGTGCTCGTGTATACTCTTCGTAGTCTAGTAGTAGTAGTTTGTATTCTGCTTCGACAATAATTATACTGCAATTTGAGGATATCTTGTTATCTCAGGGAAAAGGATCTAATATCACCTTTTTATTTTGCCTGGTTTTTGGGTCAAATATACTTTGTTTTTGGCAGATAACTAGAAATACCTAAATTGAAGGCAACGTTAGATAACTATATTTCATTTGAATTAATGCTAATTTATTTTATATGCTACAAAATAAATGGAAAAATAAAAATAATAGGTCGACTTAGCCTATTTTTTTCCCTTCTTTAATTGGAATATATTTAATAGTACTAATAACAAGTCTTCATCACTCCTTTTCCTCTAACCATGTCCATTAATCATTTAAAAGCTTGTCACCACTCTTTTTCATTGAAAATTTCAATAATTAATTAATCATTTTTTTTTGGTTCAATTTAGTAGAGATAAGATTATTCTAAAACTCGTTTGCTTGTGATTATTAGCTTAGACCGACTAGTAAGATGTTCGATTGCTAAGATTCAATGTTACTCAAGATCGCTGCCCGCTATTAAAGTGGAAGCCCGCAATTAAATTATATTAGTGAGACGGGGATTAAAAAACAAAAACAATTTTATCCTTAAACAATAACTAAATCCTGCTAAATAACAATTCACATATAATACTAGAATATAACTAATTTAATATATTAATTCTCTCAAACAAAAGAAATAATTAGTGAAAATTAAAATTTTAAAAAATAAATATTAGTCGTATTATATATTATATATATATATATTTATCATGGCAAATATATATTTATTAGATTTCTTAATTATTATGTCGAATTCTTAGAAGATACTTAATTTGAAAGGAAATAATATATATTTATTAGAGGCACAAACTCCATGCGGCTAGACCACATCTGCCAAACTAGTCATAGCATCCCAGCCCTACACGTGTCCCATTGCCCCACAGATAAATCCCTTATTTTATTTACTTTTTTAAATTGAATATATTAAGTCCCCTTTTTAATAAAACAATTAAGCTTACCCTGTTTCTCTCTATCATCATCATCATCATCTTCCGTATATACACACACTTCTTAACCTGTATATATATATATATACATATATTCTGTATATACGTATATATATTATGAACTTCGTTTCACGTCAGAATAGCAACTAACCTAGGAATTCGCAAACCCTAGCAATTCTGGCACGATCAATTACCCCTAAACAACTACAGGTAACAGAAAAGGATAATATATAACGAATTCTTGATCGGGGGTTTGAATTGTTTTAACCTTTTTAATCGAATTTTTCTTTTGGTTTTCTTTCGGAGATTTCTCCCTTGCTTTACCTGAGTTTTCCTTATTTTGGTATCGGTAACAGAAAAGAGAAGAGTCCTGCTTTTTTTTTTTGGGTTTATTTTTCGCCGTGGTTGATTATAATCTACTTTGTTGGTAAGTGATCAGTGTTTATGGTTTTGTTACAAAGTCGAGTCTTTACTGATTTTTCGTCTTTTGTATGTGTTGTGTATTCTGTTTCATTAACCCACTGCAACCCCTGTTTCTCTCTGTCATTGTGGCTTTGTTTTCATTGACTTTACACTTTTAAGAATGGAGCATTAGCAATTTTTATTCATCGTTACAGATTTTGGGGTAATTTTGCTGATTGGTACTGTTTGGTGCTCAATTAGTGGAATGTTAATTTGGATAGTCACTTTGTGGTTGAATTTTTTTTTTCGGCTTGTTTTATTGACAGTGCTAAACTCTGGGTCTGCTAAGTAGCATATGAATGGAAAATCGAGGCCAAAAAAGAACTGAAGACGTAGACGAATTGCCAGCAGATAAGCGTCCGTGCAGTTCGTTAGAATTTCGGCCAAGTTCCTCAAATTCGTCACCTCAAACACCGATGAGTACTGCTCATGAATCTCAGGATGGTGACATGGACACATCGTCGTCAACTTCCGGATCACTTAGATCTGAGGGTGGTGAGGGGGAGAAAGAATCTGTGTACGGCTCTTGTGATTCTGATAATGGTGTTCACGACTACTATAGGCATAGAATAGGGAATGATCAAAGCAAGTTTAAGAAAATGCTTTCTAGTTTAAGCGAGGAGGTGGATGAATCAGGGCAGTTGGCTTTACTCACAGAGCTCTGTGAATTGTTGTCCTTCTGTAGTGATAGTTCTTTATCGAGCCTAATGGTGGACTCGTTTTCGCCGATACTTGTTCGATTGTCGAGACACGAGAGCAACCCGGATATAATGCTCCTAGCTATAAGGGCTCTAACTTATTTGTGTGATGTTAATTCGCGATCCTCAGGTTTTCTTGTGAGACATGATGCAGTTCCTGTTCTTTGTCAAAGATTAATGACAATGGAATTCCTCGATGTGGCAGAACAAGTATGCTCCGCTAATCTTGTTTGTTTGTGTATTATGCAAGTTGAATTTTTTCTTCGATTATTTTGAATGTGCTGTTTCTGATGTAGTGTTTACAAGCATTGGAGAAAATATCACGCGAACAACCACTTGCTTGCTTGCAGTCTGGCGCAATAATGGCTGTTTTAAGATATATTGATTTCTTTTCAACTAGTGTGCAGGTATGTTCCAACATATGTACATCAAATCTTTTCGTGTTAAGGAATACACGTGTCAACTTTTTACATGGTTATGGCCTTCAAAACTGAGTTTTGCTTACTATTTTGTTTTGTTATATCGTAGAGGGTTGCACTTTCTACTGTGTTCAATATATGCAAGAAACTCTCTCCCGAATCTCCTGCACTTTTCATGGATGCAGTTCCAATTTTATGTAATCTTCTCCAATACGAGGATAGACAGGTCAACATCTCATAATGCTTCGTTTCTTAACAATCGATCTTCTAGAACTACTCCCGTTTCCATTTTCTGACAATGTCCTATTTCTCTATTTTTCAGCTTGTTGAGAGTGTGGCAAGTTGCTTGATCAAAATAGGGGATCAAGTCCGTCGTTCTCCTGATTTGTTGGATGAAATGTGTAAACCTGGACTGGTTCAGCACACTCTACATCACATTGGTTTAAATAGCCGAACTACCCTTTCTCAACCAACTTATATTGTAAGCAGAAGTTTCTGTATATTTCCTTTTCTTCCACTTAAGTTCAATGAAATTTAAATCTTGTACTTGGTTAACAGGGGTTGGTAGGATTACTCGTCAAGTTGGCTGCTGGCTCTACTGTTGCTTTCAGGACACTTTTTGAACTCAATATAAGCAACACTTGTAAAGACATACTGTCATCTTACGACCTGTCACACAAAGTGCAGTCTACTCTAACTGTGGATGGGCATCACAATCGGGTTGGCAACTATGATCTCTCTCTCTCTCTCTGTTCTCTCTCTCACACAACACACACTAATTCATTGTAATAATTGAGACTTCCTTATCTTGTCAGATACATGAAGTTTTGAAGTTGTTGAATGAGCTTCTTCCAACAAATAGTCCAGAACAGGATAGCCAGCAAAAGTCGGAGAAAGAAGATTTTCTTTTTAGCCATCCTGATATTCTGAAGAAGTTTGGAGTTGACTTACTCCCTACCTTGATTCAGGTTGGTGTTTCATATATATCTTGAATAATTTGTACTCAAATTCTCCTCCATAGTTCTCAACTTGTCCTTTTCACCCTCGATCAGGTGGTGAATTCTGGTATGAATCTGTTCATGTGTTACGGCTGTTTATCTATTATCAATAAGTTAGTTCACTGGACCACATCTGATGGACTTCATAGGTTGCTACAAACTGCTAACTTTTCAAGGTGAAAGGAATTTCTTCTCTGTCCCATGATCTAGAAATAGTGTACGATTTTCTGATTAAAAAAATTTCCTAATCCAAAATTTGGATTGAATGGCAGTTTTCTGGCTGGAATGTTCACGAGAAAGGATCATCATGTGATATTATTGGCCCTTCAGATTGTTGATGCAATAATGCTCAAGCTTCCGCATGTTTACTTGAACTCCTTTATCAAAGAAGGAGTTCCTTACTCCCTCTATGTGTTATTTTCGCCAGATAAAGATTTGAAGGGCTCTCCAGTTTTCGATGGTATAGGGGTGGAAAATGACTCAGCTCTGAAACCAGCTTCCCGAGGTGTCCATAGATGCCCATGCTTTGCATTTGATATATGTCAGTCGTCAAAGTCTCCAGAAAATGGGACCTGCAAGCTTGAGAAAGATACTGTTCAGATTCTTGCGAAACGTATATGGATTAGTTACTTTGAAACGGAATCGGTTAACCCTGAGAAAGGAGTAACCGATGTTCTTCAGAAGCTCAGAACCTTATCCACTGCATTAACAGTCCTGGTGAACGAGTCCCAGGAAGAAGCAACATCTAGTAAACTGGAGGAGGATTTTTTTGATCTTTTGCATCAAATCATGTCGGAGCTTAAAGAAGAAGATTATATCTCCACTTTTGAGTTTGTGGAGAGTGGACTTATAAAATCATTAGTCGATTACCTATCAAATGGCAGGCATATTGGACAAGAAGTTACTCATGCAGCAGATCACTTTTGCACTATGGGAAAAAGATTTGAGGTTTTCGGACAACTATTAATGTCATGTACCGATCCAGCTTCAGAGAAATCTTTAATTCTGGCACTAATACAGAGATTGCAGAATGCTCTCTCGTCTGTTGAAAATTTCCCTGTTATCCCAAGTCATGCATATAGGACTAGGAATTATTATGCCACTGTTCCATCTGGGCATTGCACTCCATACCCATGTCTGAAAGTTCAGTTTGTGAGGGAAAAAGAGGAGAACTGTCTGCGTGACTATGCTGATGATATTGTCAATGTTGACCCCTTTGTGCCTCTGGAGGAAATTGAAGGATATTTGTTGCCTAGAGTGAGAAATGATAAAACTGTGAATTCGACTTTGAGATCTGAAGATTCAAAGCTGAAAGATAGCACATGTTCTCCTTCACCATCAGATTCAAGCACTCCCCGAGCCAAAAGTGCAGACGATATAGCACCCATGGTTGATGTTGACGAACTGCAGGTTTATACTCGTCTACGACAATTCAAGCTGGTTGACTTATTTGCCTTTTATTTTACGCCGCTCTATCCATTTTATTAGACAAGACTTGGCATTTCATAGTTTTTTTTTTTTTGCAGGAGGTGAAACCTAATGTGTTGTCTTCACCAACAAATATATCCAGTTCCGCACAAAAAGTTATGGACGCAGTAGAGGTAATTGATGTTCCTGGTTATAGCTAGATATTTGTGTATCGGTTCATATATCCAAATCCACTTTCACACTATCGCTTTCACATGACATTTGTCTGTACTTATGTTCTGTTATTTCGAGTATTATGACAACACTTGTACTTATCTACATTATTGAAGGATTCGGTTGATCAAGAGGGGCATAATCCTCTTCAACAAGAGGCCAGTACGAGCACTGACAGTGAAGATACTCCAGCAAGTTTGCAGCTTTATTTGGAAGGGCAGGAACTGAACTGTAAGTTGACGCTATACCAGTCTATTCTCAAGCAGCAGACCGGAACAGAACATGATAGTATGTCGATTGCAACCTTGTGGAGTCGTGTATACAAAATAACTTACGGAAGACACGCCACAACCGAAAGAATTCACTGCAAGCGCAGTCATGACGAGTTTACACTTTCTCTTTTATGTGAAAAGACCTTTTCTCAGTACACTCCATATTTCTGCCGCATGTTCCTTTCTAATGCTGAAGCTGAGGAATTAGGTCCAAGTTATGATGTAATATCGCTTCTAAAAAGCTTGGAAGGAATAAACAGATTGAGATTCCATCTGATGTCTCGTGAGACAACACGTGTATTTGCTGAAGGAAGAACAGACGATCTGAATAAGTTAAACTCTGCAATTTGCGAAGTTCACCAAAACGAGTTTGTCAACAAGAAATTGACAGAAAAATTGGAACAGCAGATGCGGAATCCTATTGCTGCCTCAGTTGGAGCCATGCCTGCATGGTGTACATTGTTAATGAATTGGTGCCCGTTTCTATTCGGTTTTGAAGCAAGGTGCAAGTATTTCCATATAGCAGCATTAGGGCGTTTGCCAAATCATACTCAATCTACGTCTCATGGTAATAATGGTGGTGGCTCGAGTGGCAGACATCAAAATCCACGCAAGAAGATTTTGGTGCACCGCAATAAAATATTGGAATCTGCTGCCCATATGATGGAACTGCATTCCCGTCAGAAGGTTGTTCTTGAGGTGGAATATAGTGAAGAGGTGGGTACTGGTCTTGGCCCCACATTGGAATTTTATACATTAGTTTGCCACGAGTTTCAAAGAAGTGGCTTAGGTATGTGGAGAGATGACTGTTTGGTCTCTCTTTTTGGTCTATTCCCCCGCCCTTGGTCACCTTCATCGAGCAGCACAGTGCATTCCGAAGTGATTAAAAAGTTTACTCTATTGGGACATATAGTTGCTAAAGCTATTCAAGATGGTAGGCTTTTAGATCTTCCATTTGCAAAGGCTTTCTATAAACTCATTTTGGGGAAGGTAATATAATTTTTTTTTTTAATTGACCACTGGTCATTATTATGTTAGGATTTGCAATTTTTTTTATTTACCTTTTTTGTTATCCTTTATGTAGGAACTTTCTCTGTACGACATCCAATCATTTGATCCTGCATTAGGTAGGGCTCTTTTAGAGTTCCAGGCTGTTGTTGAGAGGAAGCAGTATTTGAAGTCCCATTGTGAGGACAGTTCACGTGATGTTGACGTGCTCTTGAGAAACACGAAAATCGAGGATATGTGTCTTGATTTTAGCCTTCCTGGGTATCCGGATTATGTTCTTGCATCTGGGCTTGACTCAAAGATGGTTGGTTTTTGCAGTACTCTTACATTATTATTCTAGATTGACGAATTCAATGTATTTTTTTCATTTAATTTGAATTCTGATATAGGTGAATCTCCATAATTTGGAAGAATATGTTGCGCTGATGGTCGATGCGACAACAAAATCTGGAATTGCTAGACAAGTGGAGGCATTCAAGTCAGGTTTTGATCAGGTTTGTTGTTTTGATTTCTGTAACAATGTCTCAAATGCCCTTTTGAAGACAGTTTTTCGTGTTTCCTGTTCGGAATTCACTTATTATTATAATGATCAACGAGTTATAACATTGTATTCTTCTTATTTAATGGCTTACAGGTCTTCCCTATAAGACATCTTAAGGTTTTCACGGAAGAAGAATTGGAGCGTTTACTATGTGGAGAACACGTGATATGGAATGTAAGCTGATAATACTTCCTGTTTTAATAAGCTGAATCGTTTATTTGGTTTGCGACTAATTATTATTTTTCGACTAATTTATATGATTTCTCTTCCTTGAATACAGTCGGACGAGCTTTTGGATCATATCAAATTTGACCATGGGTACACAATCAGCAGTCCTCCAATTGCAAACGTCAGTGTAAATTTATTGCGTTTCTTTTTATTTGAGATCTCAATTGGTTTTTTTGCAAGTCGAATGATGAATATTTTTATTTTAACATTCAGCTACTGGAGATTATGAAAGAGTTTGATCTGAAGCAGCAACGAGCATTCTTGCAGTTTGTGACTGGTGCACCCCGTCTTCCAACTGGAGGATTGGCTTCTCTCAGCCCTAATTTGACAATTGTTCGCAAGGTCGGAACAAATATATATATTCCTCATTTTTTATATTGTTGCTTTCGATCAAATAAAACTATTAAATAAATGAGTGAAAATGTTACTGAATGACAAATTTTATGTGTTTTTTTTTTTAAATTTCCAAACAGCATTGTAGCAAGGGGATAGATGACGACTTGCCTAGTGTGATGACGTGTGCAAATTATCTGAAGCTTCCACCATACTCGTCAAAAGTCCGTCTCGTTCTTTCTCTAATTGTTTTCTTTTTTTCTTTCATTTCTTTTACGGGTGAAAAATATTTAGATTTCGAGTGTTGATTTTGCAGGAAGTTATGAGAGAGAAGCTCTTGTATGCTATAACAGAGGGACAAGGATCATTTCATCTTTCGTAATCTCCGTTTCGTGGCTGAAGAGTTATATAAAAAGTGTATATATATGGATTTTAAGTTTATTTAGTGATTGTACATAATTTGGATTTTAGATGGAAAAAGCGGAAACACTTTGGTCGTTCACTCTGGGTTCGAATACGGTGTATATATTTGGCTACTTAACACGAGTAGACGAGGTCAATGTTTAGGGCATGCATATAACATCTTTCTCGTTATAACCGCATATAACATCTTTCTCGTTATAACTGCATATAACATCTTTCTCGTTATAACTGCATATAACGTCTTTCTCGTTATAACTGCATATAACGTCTTTCTCGTTATAACCGCTTCCGTTTCTTGATGTTGGCCATATGATTTGAGGCACTCTCTGTGTGTGTGTGTGTGTTTTGGGGGCAACTGTGGCAGTTAAACTAATATGCAGCAGGTAACTAATAATAAATAGAACTATGTTTCTAAGTTATAACAAGTGGAGAATCTTCTCTACAACTAGTCTTGTTGAATTCGGGTGATTGGAATTATGAATTTTCAAATTTGACTATGAAATTCGAACATCTATTTTGTGTATATATATTTTTATTAATATTTATCAGAATTTTATTATTATAAATTATAGTATAAAAAAAAATTCAAAAAAAATGACTTGTAATTTGTTTTTGTTTTTTTATTATTTATATGAAGTTTAATTTTATATTAATTATATTTTAATTAAAAATAAGAAATTTAAGTTAAAATTTTAAAAAATAAAATAGCACGAGAGCGGGCTCGCTCACGAATAAATTAGAATGACTGTCAGAAAGCTCGAGCTCAAAAAAATTGAGTTCCAGCTTTTGTTAAGGTGGTTCATTTACATCCTAGGCTTTTAAATATCTGTGCATAGTCGACTACCTACAACCTGTCCACATCTACATGGTTATGATCGGCATTTTTCGGGGAATTTTTTTGGGAAACAAAATTTTACGTGCAAAATTTAATAAAATAAAGATTATAGTGAAAATATCGAAAATTTTATATTTAAATGTTATTAAAACTATTAAAATCATAAATGGAAGTACTATAATAAGTTGAATTATGTATATATTAAAAAAAATAGTTGAATTACATCGTCTGGTGGAGAATTTAATACAGCTGGGCTTTTAATACTAATGGGCTCTTAATTTTATTGGGCTTAAACCCATTCAAATTGAAAACGCAGGAGAAATAAAAGAAAGAATTAGGGTTTATTCTGCATTTCAAAAATTAGGGTTTATCTATCTTGTACCCTACTACCTCTGAACCAAATTCCTTCACTTCGACCAGGTGTGTAACATACAGAGTTATAATGCTCGTTTTTGTTTAATTTTTTGTATGTATGTAATTTGTATCATATTGCGTTAATGATTGAAGTGTTAAAGATTAATCGGAGTTTTTGAAAACTCGTTTGTGTTTTTTTTTGTAGGGTATGTACTTAGTATCCTATTGCGCCTGAGTTTACTTTGATTGAAGTGTTAAAGATTAATCGGGGTTTTTGAAAATTATTAGGATGTTTTAGCATTCTTTTAATTTTATTTCAATTTTTTTTTCAATTTCTAGTGTTGTTCGTATTAATTTAGTGTAATTGTTGTTTGTTGATGGTGTTTAATTGCTTTTGAACTTCAGGTATCTAAATGGCGCGTAATAATGCAACATTGAATAATCCTGAAATCGAAGATGACGATCCCATGGTTTCTGAGTCGGAATCAGAATCGGAAGAAGATGGGGATGTGAAGTTATCCCAGCCCTCGAAAACCGCAGTACTCAACAAAGCCGGTTTGCTAGACAAACTCGCGGATATAAGCTGGCCCGAAAACATAGACTGGATACACAAGCTCTCGTTCAATATCGTGCAAGAGCAACCCGTGGATGTGAACGACGACCTCACTCGTGAGCTCGCTTTCTACAACCAAGCACTCGAGGGCGCAAAGCAAGCCTTCACCAAATTCCAAGAAAAGGGCCTACCTTTTCTCCGACCCGCTGATTACTACGCAGAGATGGTGAAATCCGACACCCACATGGAGAAAATTAAGGGCCGTTTATTGGCGGAGAAGAAGAGAACCGAGGAAGCCGACGAGAGGAGAAAGTCGAGGGAGAACAAGAAGCTGGCGAAGGAAGTGCAGGTGCAGAAGCAGAGGGAGAGGGCTAAGCAGAAGAAGGACGATATCGAGTCTGTAAAGACGTGGAGGAAACAGAGGAAGCAGAGCGGTTTTGCGGACGACGGCGATTTGAGTATGGCATTTGACGATGGGAAGTCGTTTGAGAGGTCGAGTAAGAAGAGGCCTGGGGTGGCGCCGGGAGATCGGTCTGGCGGCAAGGCTAGGCAGGGTGGTGGCGGATTCAAGAAAGGGTTTGATAAGAAGAGGGACCGTAAAGATTCGAAATTTGGATTTGGTGGGAGGAAAGGGATGAAGAAGCAGAACACTGCTGAGACGACGAACGATTTTAGAGGGTTTAGTAAGAGCAGCAAGTTTCCAAGCAATAAGAAACAAAAAGTATGAGATGAATGTCTACTTTCTTGCGGCTAATTTGAGATTTTTGATCTATAAGCTTATGGAAGTGTTTTATTAAGTTTGAGTTCAAATTATGTTGAAATGGGATAATCGTGTTTTTTTTTTTTTTAATGCCGTGTTGTTTTACTTGAATTTGTTGCGGGTATAACTTTGTAACATGAATTAAATCTTTGGGTTCGTTTGTCTTTGTACTCTCTGCAGTAGTAGTTTATATAGAAAGTATAGTTTAGTGTCTTTCTTAGTAGACTTGCCGTGGTTTGAGTGACTCGAGTGACGAATGCTCGTTTGAGCCTCTTATTTTGATCGTAAGAATGTTCGTATTATTTTAAAGTGAGATAGATATGTTTTTTGTTGCAGAACTGGGCTACTTGAACTTTGCAACCTGTTTTTGAGTTTTTTCATCTTCGTTTCAATTCTGAAGTTGGATGTTTGGTTCTTATTGGAATTCAATTGATTTATTTTTTGTATATGTGAAGAAAATTCATTTCTCGTAGGGCTATTCTATGTGACATATAATATGACTATTTTTACTTTTTATTTTGAAACTATGTGTATACATATTTTAGGATATTACTCGATCTTCAAATTTTTGACATGGACACAAGTTAAAAAAAAAATTATTTATCTAATTCAGTAGATATGAAAATAGGAAGGCACTAATTTTGATATAAAATATAAATTCACATATAAAAAAACTTTAAAAATAAATTAAATATTGGGCAACATAAAATAAAATCACAATTTAAGGGAGGATCAAAATTTGTATCCTGCATATATCATCGTCATACATTACTTGCTTACAAATTAGGCATTGATGATGTTTCGAAACTAAAAGTGGCGCCAAAAGAAACATGAACGCGCGTCTCCTCAATGCTTTCTCCTAAGAACGTCGTATCGTCCACGCGCCGCCTATTCTGCAGTTGCATTTATGCTGACCCAGCTTTCAGTTCACGCACCAAAGCCTTGTATTTTAGCTCTAACTCAGTTTCAGGGCACCGCATTTTCACAATTTATGATGACAAGAAACAAGTTCAAGTTCATCCTCAGAACGCTGGAGTTATTACATTTGAAACTCCCGAGTTTGCCCTTTCTCAGAAGTATGACTTTTTGATTGAAAAATATCGATTTTCTCGATCCAATTTCGAGGCCAAACGGTTCCATTCAGGTATAATCAAGAATGGGTTTGTTGGCGATTTGTTTATGGGCAATACGCTCATTAACGTGTATGCCAGAAATGGAGATTTGGTGTCCGCTCATAACGTGTTCGATGAAATGCCTGATAGGAATTCCGTTACGTGGGCCTGCTTGGTTTCTGGGTATACTCAGAATGAGATGCCTAGAGATGCATTTGCTACCTTTGGAAGAATGTTATCGGCAGGATTTATTCCAAACCATTACGCACTCGGGAGTGCTTTAAGAGCGTGTCAGAGATTGGGAGCTGAGGGGTTAAAACATGGGATGCAAATTCACGGTTTAGTTTCGAAAACCCGTTATGCATCTGATGTAGTCGTCTGCAATGTCTTGATTTCAATGTACAACGGTTGCATTTCGGGTCCCACTGGTACTGATTATGCTTGGCGTGTTTTTGATGGGATCGCAAACAAGAATTCGATATCGTGGAATTCAATCATATCCGTTTATTCTCAGAGAGGGGATGCAGATTCTGCATTTGGTCTTTTCTCCGATATGCAAAAGGAAGGTGTAGGGTTTAGTTTTAGGCCCACTGAGTACACATTTGGCAGTTTGATAGCTGCTGCATCCGAAACCCGTAAAGCAGATAGTGGTTCCTTACTGCTCAAGCAGTTGTTGGCAAAAATCGAGGTTTCTGGACTTGTAGAAGATTTGTATGTGGGCAGTGCTCTGGTGAGTGGTTTTGCAAGGTTTGGTGCAATTGATATTGCCAAGAGTATCTTTGAGCAGATGGGTGCAAGAAATGCAGTGTCGACAAACGGCTTGATGGTTGGATTAGTGAAACTTAAGCAAGGGGAAGAAGCAGCAGAGGTTTTCTTGGGGACGAGAAACCTAATTAGACTAAACACTGATAGTTATGTACTTCTTTTGAGCGCCTTCGGCGAATTCTCGTGTCCAGAAGAAGGGAAAAGGAAAGGGAAAGAGGTGCACGGATATCTCACACGAACAGGAGTAAATGATTCGAGTATTTCTGTTGGGAACAGCTTGATAAATATGTATGCCAAATGTGGTTCTATCGAAGATGCTTCTTCTGTTTTCAACTCGATGCCTGCCAAAGATTCGGTTTCATGGAGCTCTATGATTTCCGGGCTCGACCAAAATGAGTATTTTGAAGATGCATTGTTGATTTTCTACAGAATGAAGAAAACTGGACTAGTACCTTCGAATTTCACGCTGATCAGCTCTTTAAGTTCGTGCAGCAGTCTTGGCTGGATGAAGGTGGGAGAACAAATACACAGCGAAGCAATAAAATTAGGACTCGATTCGGATGTTTCGGTATCAAATACCCTTCTCTCGCTATACGCCGACACTGGATGCATCAGCGAGTGCAGAAAAGTGTTCTCCTTCATGCACGATCACGATCAAGTGTCGTGGAATTCAGTCGTAAGGGCTTTTAGTGATGATTCCGAGGCGTCCATTATTGAAGCCGCAAATTATTTCGTAGAGATGATGCGAGCTGGATGGAGCCCCAACAATATAACCTTAACGAACATTCTTGCAGCAGCAGCATCTCTTTCACACGTCGAATTCGCACAGCAAATTCACGCCTTGGTGTTGAAGCATCGCCTTACGTGTGACAACACGGTTAATAATTCTCTACTCACTTGCTATGGAAAGTGCGGAGAATTAAATGACTGCGAAAGAATATTTTCAAGAATGGCCGAAAGGGATGATGTCAGCTGGAATGCAATGATTTCGGGGTATATACACGGTGAGCAATTGGTGAAGGCTATGGAGTTAGTCTGGCTTATGTTGCGTAACGGACAGAGATTAGATTGCTTCACTTTCGCCACAGTTCTTAGTGCTTGTGCTTCGGTAGCAACACTAGAGCACGGAATGGAGGTCCATGCTTGTGCAACTAGAGCTTGTTTGGTATCTGACGTGGTTATCGGTAGTGCACTTGTTGACATGTACGCTAAATGTGGGAGAATAGAATATGCTTCAAGATTCTTCGAGTTGATGCCTCTCCGAAACGTATACTCATGGAATTCCATGATATCTGGTTATGCACGCCATGGTGACGGACACAAAGCTCTCGAAATATTTGCGCAGATGAAACTGAAAAACCAGCCACCAGATCATGTGACATTCGTAGGGGTGTTATCGGCTTGTAGCCATGTCGGATTAGTCAACCAAGGGTTTGACCATTTCGAGTCCATGAGTAGAATTTACGGGCTCACACCAAGAATCGAGCACTTTTCTTGCATGGCCGACCTCTTGGGCCGATCGGGCGAATTCGAAAAGTTGGAGGACTTCATAAGCAAGATGCCGATGAAGCCGAATGCCTTAATATGGAGGACTGTTTTAGGTGCTTGTGGAAGATCGAAATCGAACGGTCGATTGATGAATTTAGGCGAAAGGGCTGCTAAAATGATAATGGAATTGGAGCCTCAAAATGCTGTGAATTACGTGCTTCTTGCTAATATGTATGCTTCTGGAGAAAAATGGGATCTTGTGGCTGAGGCAAGAAGGGCAATGAAAGCGGCAATGGCTAGAAAAGAAACGGGGTGCAGTTGGGTGACTATGAAAGATGGGATACACGTTTTTGTGTCGGGTGATAAATCGCATGTTGATAAAGATTTAATATACGAAAAGCTCAGTGAATTGAGTGGGAAAATGAAGGCTTTGGGGTATGTTCCCGAGACGAGATACGCACTTTATGATGTTGAAGTGGAGAATAAGGAAGAAGTGTTGAGCTACCACAGTGAGAGGCTTGCGGTTGCTTTTGTGCTTACGAGGGAATTGGAATCGGAAATGCCGATTAGGATAATGAAGAATCTTCGAGTTTGTGTGGACTGTCATTCGGTTTTTAAGTATGTATCAGAGATTGTCGGGAGGCGGATTGTGTTGAGGGATTCGAATAGGTTTCATCATTTTGCGGGTGGCAAGTGTTCGTGCAATGATTACTGGTGATTCTTGAATGTTTGATTTTATGCTTATTTACCGTCTTCTCTTTAATCGATTTTATGAGGGGGTTTTTTGCCTTAGAATAAGATGTTGCTCAAGCCTAATCTGATTTAGAGATCTCTCGTGTAATTTGAAAGCTATATATATTCGTAAATACATTAAGAAATCAAAGTGTGGGTGTAATATACCAAGTACTTTTAGTACCCAATTTGAGAGTTTATTTCAAAAAATTGATCAAATCTAGTGGACTGGGAAAAAAGTATTGGAAAATGATTCAAGGAAAATAAAAGACGAGGGAAGTGTAGGAACCAGACAATTAGCCAATCAGACAAGAGGACGGAATATACGCAGACGTACTCCTTTCCTTCTCCACCCAAAATATCTCATAAAAAAATCTCACATCTTATCACCTTCAATTCAAAACTCTGCACCATTTAAAAAAAATTAAAAAAAAAAGAAACCCACTTTTTTCCACCCTTTGTTCCCCGGAAGAATCAAATGGACCAGACATGAACGCTACCCGCACTCTCAGCCTCCACTGGGTTGCGCCGCCGCCGCCGCCTTCCTCCACCGCACTCTTCTCTGCCGCCGCCGTATCCCCCGCCACCACCGTCAAACCCTCCTCCCTCCGCGTACACACCACCAAAAACCCCTCCAACAACTCTCTCTCTTCCACAACCCCAAGCGACAAGTTTTCCAAGTCCCAAGATCAGGTGCTCCTCACACTCCTCCAGCAGAGGAAAACCGAGGAGGCATGGCTTTTGTACGCCCAGTGCGGGGCCCACCTCCCTAACCCCACCTGCCTCAGCCGCCTAGTTTCGCAGCTCTCCTACCTCAACACCACGGAAGGGCTGACGAGAGCGCAGTCTATCATCCAGCGCCTCCGCCACGAGAGCCAGCTCCACCGCCTCGATGCCAATTCCCTCGGCCTCCTCGCGGTGGCTGCCGCCAAAGGCGGCCACACTCTCTACGCCGCTTCCATAGTCAAATCCATGCTTAAATCTGGCTACCTCCCCCATGTGAAAGCGTGGAGTGCCGTGGTGAGTCGGCTCGCCGCTTCTGGCGACGATGGCCCGACCGAGGCGATTAAGATGTTCAATTCCGTGATGAAAAGGGTGCGTCGGTTTACGGATTCCGAGGTTGTTAAGGATTCGAGGCCGGATACGGGTGCTTACAATGCCGTGCTCAATGCCTGCGCCAACCTTGGCGACGCCAAGAAGTTCCTCCAACTGTTCGACGAAATGTCCGAGTTCAAATGCGAGCCGGATGTCTTGACTTATAATGTGATGATTAAATTATGTGCCAGAGTCGACAGGAAGGACTTGCTTGTGTTCGTTTTCGAGAGAATAATCGAGAAGGGAATACCGTTGTGCATGACTACACTACATTCCTTAGTTGCAGCTTATGTCGGTTTTGACGATTTAGAAACCGCCGAGAAATTGGTTCAGGCAATGAGAGAAGGAAGGAAAGACATTTGCAAGATCTTAAGACATCCCACCTCTGAAGATAGTTACTCCGATGATGATTCCGATGATGATTTCGATGATATTAAAGTGGCAAACGAAAGTGACACATTCGAGAAATTACTACCCAATTCAATCGATGTTAATTCCGAGCCACCGGAGTTGACTAGAGTATTTTCACCGGACTCGAGAATTTACACAACCCTAATGAAAGGTTACATGAAAGCCGGACGTGTGGCCGACACAGTGAGGGTGCTCGAAGCAATGAGGCATCAAAAAGACGATACTAGCCTTCCGGACCACGTGACCTACACTACGGTTATATCCGCATTCGTTAAAGCAGGATCGATGGATAGGGCCCGCCAAGTCCTGACAGAGATGGCTAAAATGCGCGTACCTGCAAATCTCATCACGTACAATATTCTTCTGAAAGGTTATTGCCATCAACTGCAGATCGATAAGGCGGAGGATTTGATAAGGGAGATGGTCGACGAGGCAAGAATCGAACCCGATGTGGTTTCTTACAATACGTTGATCGATGGATGTATACAAGTGGATGACAGCTCGGGGGCACTTACGTACTTTAACGAGATGCGAAAGAGAGGTATTGCACCTACAAAAGTGAGTTACACCACTTTGATGAAAGCGTTCGCTTCAACTGGTCAGCCGAAGCTGGCTAACAAGGTGTTCGATGAAATGCTCAAAGACCCTCGAGTGGTGGTGGATTTGGTCGCGTGGAATATGTTGGTTGACGGGTATTGTAAGCTGGGGCTAGTTGATGAAGCGAAGAGTATAATTCAAAAAATGAAAGATGATGGGATTTATCCGAATGTGGCTACGTATGGAAGCCTTGCGAATGGGATAGCGGTGGCCAAAAAACCAGGGGAAGCACTTTTACTATGGAATGAAATAAAAGAGAGGTGTGGGATTGAGAATATAGGCGAAGAACCTAAGTCTTTGTCCAATTTTCCGCCATTGAAGCCCGACGAAGGGCTTCTGGATGCGCTGGCGGATATTTGTGTTAGAGCGGCTTTCTTTAGGAAAGCTTTGGAGATTGTTGCTTGCATGGAGGAAAACGGGATTTCTCCGAATAAGACAAAGTATAAGAGGATTTATGTGGAGATGCATTCGAGGATGTTTACTAGTAAGCATGCCTCGAAAGCTAGGCAGGATAGAAGAAGGGAGAGGAAAAGAGCGGCCGAGGCTTTTAAGTTTTGGTTGGGACTTCCAAACACTTATTACGGGAGTGAGTGGCGGATCGACCGTGGAGATCGGGATTGATAAGAAGACAAATACCACAGTGATATATACTTGTCTATGGTAAGTAGTTGTTACCTTGTTTGAAGTCAAGCCATTGTTGTATGATTGTATGTATCATTTGTAGTTTTTGAGCCTTTGATCTGTGGAGTGTTCTGCCACCAAATCTGTAGTGACCAGATAAAGATGATATACATAAATACTGTGCATTTATTTGACAGGGTTGGCTATGTTGCATTCTTCAGTTCCATAGTAATTAAATTTTGGTTGGCCAAAAAATCCTAGGATATTATCCTAGGATGCTTAGATGTTGTTCGAGTGTGAAATTACCTGAGGAACACCCATCCAAAAGTACTCTTGTGCAAAATTACACAGCAAAGGATTAAAATTGAGACAGAATTCAATTTTTTTTTTCTGATGTAACTAATGATGCTCAGCATATATGATTTTAATACCGAGGCGTGAGTTAATCAACGATAAAACAATAGTTTAAGATGAATAAAAACACTCACTTGAAAAAAAGAATTTGTACGGAGTGAAATGAAACGTGGGGATATTGACTTCAGGATTTAGCCTGTTATGTGGAGCTGCAAAAAATATCATCTTGACCTTGATGACTGACTGCGAGAATAAGATGATGATAACACCTGCAGTACGATACGAGACTTTTAGTGAGTAGGTATAATTAACTGCAGAAAACTAAACGAGTCACTATTTTATCATAATTTCACAGAAGTTCTTACATATAGGAAAAACGGAAGCTGAAAGATAATTACAATATTATTCATGTAGAATATTCCACCAAGTTCCGAGGTACGTTGACAGAAAAATATTCAGCAGAAGAAACTAAAGTTAAAACCTGATATGTCTTTGGGCCTTTCTTTAGAAGATAGCCGACGCTGTTCAAATTATCTACGAAGGTGTCGATGTCTGGAACCCTTAAACTGATCCTATCTGCCAAACTGTATATTTCCTGATAATGATCAAACAAAAACTATTTCTGTAAATTTTTTTGCATTAAATTCAGATTAATGGGAAGAAATCCTACATGGATTGAGAGTACATACAGATATAGAGAAGCAATCTTTTTGCAGCAATTCGGATTGCTTATTTAAAGCACTTAAGAATCGCTTGGCTTCTTTCTGCTGGCTCATTCCACCACTCCGTCCAAAATCAACAAGGCCATTCTCATCGACATATTTGTCATACAAAGACTCTTTCATTATTTCAACAACATCCTGTACGAGTTATGCATCAGTTAAAATTAAAAATCCTGCCAATATATATGATAAACAGCTGGTAATTCATATAAGTAATTCTAGAGCAAAATAATCCCAACAAGACAAATTTACCAAAGCGTCTTGGGTGCTTATTTCCTCCCTTAAGTCCACCCTAGCTCGAGCTCCAGCCAGCCTTACCAAACTTTCTAACTGCCTTGCTGTTATTGGAGTACTATCCGCAGAAGTATTATGGTCTCTTAGACGTAAATAAAACTTTTGCAAGATTTCTGCAGCTGGTTTTGTCATCCTAGATGGGGAAAAAAAATTAACCAATTGAACTAATTGTTTAGATATAATGTTTGACATTATAGAGAGCATGAGATCACCTTGGAAATACATAAGTTCTTGCATAAGCAATGTATTTACGCAGAAGAGGAGCAGGCAGTGGAACAAAGTCACTGTCTTTCTTAGGGTCAAGTCTTAACTTTGCAACTAGTGAATCACTTCTTACATTCATATCCACATCTCTAGTATCTCGTGATTCTGCAAGTAGCAAATTTAATCTGTCAAACAATCCTATGGTAAATAAATTATCGGAGGTTAAAATGTCACCTCTACATAATCTCTTTCCAGGTGATGGCTGCCCGCTGCCAGCATGAAGCTGCAAAAGAAATGTTCCAGTTTTTTTATAAGTTTAGTTGAATAGCATCAAGTGAAGATCTATGCATCTATATTAACACACAAAATGACAAATTCGTGACAATGTCAAAAAGCTTCCTATTTACTACAGAAGAGAAATATCCAGGTAAAAAAAAAAAAGGGCAAAACAAGCTAATAGACGAACAAGAAAAACTAGAGCATAAAAACGAAGGAGTCAAATCCAGATTTTTTACTCGCGTGTCAGTTTTGGATGCAGGCAGGATAACTTACTGACATTATGTGCTCTGAAAGTCTCTTATCCAGCAACTCATCGGGTTTATCAAGCAATATGAAAACCAAATCAAATCGTGACAGAAGAGCAGCATTCATTTTCAGATTCTCATTCACAGTTTTTGCCCGGCTGCAATTAAAATTTTAATTTTAAATACAAGTGATATTGTACTATAAAACATAAATACATGTACAAATATTCCATATTTAACCCTTTCAAACCATCTGAAATAATTTGCATATCAAAATAATTTGCCATGCATAGACATGGAGAGGTCTGACGGTTCCAATTCTAAGAATAATTTGCAATGGATCAAAGTTACACCTACAGTAAAAGTTAAGTGCAGTACTTATAATGACCACCAACAGGGTTTGCTGCAGCTAAAACGGATGTTCTTGCAGATAAACTCGCTACTAATCCTGCCTTCGCAACAGAAACGCACTGTTGTTCCATTGCTTCTAGTAAGGACTGTAAGCAATTATGTAATTAGCATTTTTTTTCATCTGAAAACCAGCAACATATCCTGAGAAAAAGTTAGGACTTGAAAACCTGGTGTTCTGCTGACATTTTATCGAACTCATCGATGCAGCATAGTCCACGGTCTGCAAGTACCATTGCACCTGTAAAAAGAAAAACCAGATAAATTTAGTATTGAGCATCTACCCAGTATGCACATCTAGCAAATATAATACAAGTCTATGGAATTCCCATAAGGGTAAATAACACATAGTGTTCTATTAATATAAGCTGAAAGAAATTTGATCATTCAAACTCACTGGTAGGCATATATAAAGAAGGTTTTACCAGCCTCAAACGCATAGTCACTTGTCATAGGATCTTTCACCACTGCAACAGTCAGGCCAGCATTTGTTGTGGCATTACCACAAACATATATGCCGCGTGGAGAAACAGAAGCTGCAGCTTGAAGTAGTTGACTTTTACCCAATCCAGGATCACCTAATAAAGTAACAAGTTGTAACATTAAATATTGGTACATATAAACTCAAGTAAGTTCTTATTCATATATAGTATGTTAACGGCTGGAAGGTACACTTGGTTCAATCTATTGCAGAGAAAGAAAATCTCCATACCAACAACAATTATATGGATGTCTCCTCTGACAGGGACCTTGTTCTGATCCATTGAATGCTTCCGAACACCACCAAACAGTGCTAATGTAATTCCCGCTGTTCACCAGCAAAGGAGATAGAAGATAAAGTAGCACTCATAACATTTGTAACTTTTCAAATCAATGACTGGAATACTTGAAACCATCTACACATACTAATCAAATGTATGAGCAAAAATAAAACCATTGTATGCATGCCCGTGTACTTGTGCAAAATTTGAAAAAATAAATGCAGCGTCGAAATTGATGTTAACTGGCGCCGAACACACACTCCATTTTGAACTACAGCTTAACATAGATGAAATTTCATATTATATTATAATGTGTGTCCTCGAGGTAATATAGCAAAACAGGGGGCAATGAATCTGATTTGTTTAAATATTGGAATACAAATGATCAAGCATAAATATTTTTGTATACCTTTAACAAGCTCATGCCCATAAATGGATGGACAAATTGATTGCATAATTTGTCGAAATACATCAGAACCATGTTCCTCAGAGAACTTTACAATGAATTCCAGATCTCTTGGAGAAAATGAGTACAAATCTAAATGTTCTGTTGCTCTAGCATTGGAGTCAGTATGTTGCATATCCTCCGGCGCAGACTGGGACTTTGAATTTATTATTGAAACAACGTCTAGGTACAAATAATACAGCGATTGGTTCTTGCCTTTTGATTTTCCTAAATTTGGAGAAAAAAGAAGAAACCATGAGCAAAATGTGAAGCTGGAAATAGTTTCAACTGTCAGCCAGTGCAACAGAAGATGATGATAGAAATATATAGTACCCAGACATCAGACGACAAGCTTAGCAGATAAGTAAGACTTTCACTAGCGAACAATTAATTTCTATTCATCATGGTGATAAAATTATCCACCCTCTACTTTCTGCAGTGTCATCAGACAACCATCAGATATTTCATTCTAATTAAAGTCAATCTGGCAATCAACTTTATAATGTCACCTACATGGATGCTAGCTCCATTCACATAACAGAAGTGCCTAAATGGTGAAACAGAAAATCTTCTAATTACATGATAAAAAAAGGAAAATCCATAAGTGCTTAAAAGCAAATATGTAAGATTGTGTAGGAAGCAGGGTATTGCGGTCTTTTCAGAATACGTGCTCGTACCTCCTCCAATATCCATATAATTGTTAATCACTCTTATGATGCCAGTTACAGTCACAACGTCTCCAGGAATGCATGCATCGACTAGATCTTCGGTCATTTCACAATCAACGGTCCGAGGAACCCGCCCTTCTTCATGATGTTCAGATTTGAGAAGCTCCTGAATCCTGAAGGTTATGTTAGACCACAACAACAAAGTCAGGCAGAGAGGATAGTTTAGCTAAACGCGTCACAGTGAGAGCATTCTTAAGTATGGGTGAGCGCAGACGTGTTTACAACTATACCTTATCTTCTGAAAATCTATTGGCCGAGCAGTAGATCTGATTGGAGTGAAGTTTCGGCTTTTACATGCTTGCATTTCACATTTTGTCGGTGGAGAAAATTTTCCATCAGGAAAGTCACGGGTAATATTCGTCCCACATTTGGCACATGAAAAACTCATTTGTATAACTAGAGGCCGGACTGTGCTAACTTTCGTCACGTTTCCCCTCACCGAAACAAGCCTGTCTATGACATGATCCAATTATGCAATATTCGCAGCATTAAATTAGGTATTTCTCCAAATAAGCTCATCTAGAAATGCTAAACGAAAGAAAACTGCAGGAGTACCAATATAAGCAGCCTTAAGATTCTTCAAAGCAATCATGGAATTTTGGTAATTGTGCAGACGAATATTAATCTTTGGACAGTCTTCCATCGTTTCCTCTTTCCCAAATAAAACCTACTCAAGTTTCCAGCACAAGCAGAAAATCATCAAAAAAAACATCCACCTAGTAAAGCACCTAAAGTTTACGCACCTTGTGCACCGCAGCACTCATACACATCAAAGCATCTCTAGGTTTTTCTTCTAGTGCCACATAAAAATCCTCCAACTGACATACTTTCCGGAACTGCTGGAAGTCTATCGGTAAGAAGAATAAGCCATCGTCTTCTTTTACCTATCCATAATATCAAAATATTCATCTCATACAATTTTCCCTCTGGATGTCAACAGCTTTGAATAAATAACTCAATCAGACACTTTCCAGCACCAAAATATTGATCGCACAGTAGACCGTATCGATATAGAATTAAGCTAAAGCAAATCCAACGGAAACTAAATTTCGACGATTTTTTTAAATTCGAACGAGTATTTCTAGAAGAACACAGAGCATTTTCAAAATCGAAGGAATAGATAACTTCTACATTGAGGTTTCCTTCGTTTGAATACACGGCACAAAGAGATCGGAAGTGAGTTCGGTACACCGAGAGAAATCGCACCTGATCGACGATTTCTCGTGCTTGGTGAGAGGAGAATATGTGAAATAGGTCGGAAGTGAGATTGAATCTGAGCTCTGAGTCGCCGGCGCTATTTTGGGGGAAGTATAAGGCCAGGACGCGCCATAAATCACTTAACGCCGTCGATCGGGATTTGGATACGCTGCTAAACTCCATCTCCGCCGGGTGTCCGTACATCTCGATCGAGGGGTGGGTGGGGTTGCGTCAGCGGCGATTGAAATTCGTGTCCCTGGTTTTTTTTTTTGGCGGGAAGGAATTACTTTGAAGAGGGTTATTTGGCTCTAAATTGGGCGTAAATTGAATATTTGTTTCGAACCTATGGATTATTCGGGAAAAATACACTTTTGGCTCCTCAAGTTTGCACCAAATTCACATTTGGTCCCCGTGTTCAAAACAAATATTTTTAGTTCCTATATTTCAAAAATTCAATATTTTTAGTCATTTCCGTCAATTTTTCATTAGTACTGACGGATCAAGCGTGTGTCCATCATGGCCTTAGGCCCTTAACTGACGAAGTAGCGGTAAATTTACAAAAATGACAAAAATTGTTAAATTATTGAAATACGAGATACCAAATGTGAAATCAATACGAAAATGACATACTTTTGGTATTAAAGACGATATTAAACAAATACGTTTTAACGTATTTGCAATAAATTTCAAATTTAAAACTTTAGTTTTTGAGTTATTCTAGTTTATAATAATTCAATATTCATTTCATTTAGAGTGATTTAAAGATCTCTAAAGTACAGTTCTTTTATTCTTAACTCTCATTCTAATCAAAATTCATCAATCCAAAATGCACTCTTCAAAAATAACAAAGAACAGAAAAATACATTTATTTCTAGTACAGTAAGCCTGTCTATAAATCAACCAAATAACAGGATGAACAAAAAAAAATTATTACAAGATAAATCCAACAACAACAACACAGCAGAAATTGCTCTTGCAAAAAAGAAAAAAAAAAAAGATACATGCCAAAAAATAATTTTACTTCTGCCCTTTCTTCAACAACACACCTATCTTCCTCAGCACATTCCCGTTTTTCTTCTTCGGCGACAAATCCTCGTCCGAATCTTCACAACACTGCGAACTCAACTTCCTATCGATACTATGATAATCCAACGAGCCCGTTCGATCCAAATACTTCCCATTATTATTATAATTACCGCCGCCGCCGTTAGAGAGCATTGCAGCAGCTGCTTCAGCAGCCTTTCTCCACTGATCATGCTGCACTTTCAACCTCCTCAACTCAGCTTCCATTTCCGAGTTCGAAGCCTGAGTCGCATCCAACTGCTCAGTAACTCGTGCAGCTTTTCTAACACTCTTATCCGCTTCCTCTGTTAAAGACTCCACCTTTTTCAACGCCTCCCTTTCCGCTTCTCTAAACGCAACCGCCTCGTTTTTCGCTCTGCTCCTCTCCTTTTCTCTCTCCAAGATTTCATTTTTCAGCATCTCGTTTTCTTCTTTAACAATTTTCATCTTCGCCTCTTTTTCCAGTAAACTCGCTTTCATCTCTTCTAGCTCGATTTCGTTCGTCTGGTTTTGCTCCAGCTTTAGACTAAGTCCCCAGTTCTCGCACGAAAAACTCTCCAAAGCGTTTTCTTTTTCGATTAGTTTGTTCCTCAATTCCTCGACTTCGGCCATCGATTCTTTAAGCTTCGTTTCCAATTCGGATTCTCTCTTGCAAGATTCGGATCTCGCACGCTCTACCACTTCGTAAGCGTTTCTAATCTGTACAGTGCTTTGTACGTACTCGTCTTCGTACCTTCTTTCAGCTGCATCGAGCGCGCCTCTTAATTGGCTCACCTCATCTTTCAAATCATTCTCAATCTGGAAGCTTCCGGAAAGTTCCTCCAATGAATCCATTCGATTCTTCGACTCCTCCAACTCCGCAAGCAATGAGTTGTACGATTCCACAGTATTCGCCTTCTCCATCTTAAGGGTTGCTTCAGTATTCCTCACAACTTCCAATTGCATTCGAGCTCTATTCACTTCTTCCAACGCACGATCTTCGTACTCTCTGCTATCGTTCAACTGCTCCTTCAATTTCTCAACCAACAAAAGAGTTTCCGTAAGTTCGTTTCTCAAGCTTCGAATTTCCGCGTGCGCTGACTCAGCGTGGCGAGCTTGAGAAGCTTCCGAATGGCAGACTTTCTCCAAATGAGTCTTGAGCTTTTGAATCTCGTTCATGGCGGAAGCTAGAGCGGCAGAATCCATCGAGTGCTGCTTTTGTACCGCGTCTAGCTCAGACTGCCATGCTTTGTCTCGATCGTGTGATATCTTACGTAACTCGTGGACACGAGATTCCTCGGACTCGCAAAGCTCAGTGAGTTGCTTCTGTGTTGACTCGAGTTCCGCTGACGTGGCGACGAGCTGTTTCTTGGCTTCTTGAGCCTCGTGTTGGGCTCGTCTTTTAGATGACTCAGTTGAGCTGAGCTGGTTCTTTGCTGCCTTCAGTTCTTCTTGAAGATGGGCTATTCGAGCTTCCATTTCCGCCACTTTGTTTGGTCTTTTATTCTGCAGAAAATAAAAAAATATATGCTTAAAGAACGGATTTTTATACACCGTTGCTTAATTAGATCCCTTTATTTCAGTTTGGATTTTTATATAGGAACTCTTTAGAGGATTTAAATTTAAGTACCTCAGCTGCAAGATTTCTTCGTGGCGATTTGCGATCGACGATTTTCGGGCTATTGTCTTTAGGTGTTTTGGTAGCTGAATTTGGAGATGGAACACAATCTTGATTCGATCCGGGAGTTTTAAGCTTACGGGCGATTTTAGGTGTGGTGGGAGATGGTTTTTGCGGCACGTCTAGAGAACCAGGCCTGCGTACACATAAACATTAAGAGATCAATATAAATTTCTTTGAAGGATGCAAAATGAATACTTCAAAAAAAAAAACGAATTTTGATCACAGAAATCGGTGGACATGTGCATATAAATTAAGGAATCATAAAATGCACCACCATGTTGCACAAACACGATACGACAAAGATTCCGAGCCAGTGAGAAATACAATGAATGATTAGAACTCACCTCTTCAAGGACAAAAAAAAAACTCACATATTCAGTCGAAAAACGCGTAAGAAAAATATAGAATGGGAATCATACGATTTGTGTCGTAAAGAGGGTAATATATAGAAAAACGAAATGTGATTTCGTAACACGAGCAACGCAACGATTACCTTGATGTAGGAGTCTGCATGTTCTGACAAAGATGGAGATGATGTTCTTCAAAGGCCCACCCGACCCACTAAACCTGCAACCGTTACAGCGGAAATTCTTTTCGGACAAGGAAATTATGTTTACTAGTACAAAATAAAATGTGTTAAAAAAGAATATTGATGTAGGAAAACTAATCTCTAATACTAAGTAAAGAAAGAAGCAAAGCTATCCCTTCAAAGATAAACCACATAAACAACCTCCACTCCCACCAACCATAACCACAACACAAGGAAAAAAAAAAAGGCGAAAATCGAAAATAAATTAATTAACTAATACATAAAAAAGAGCAAAAGAAGCCAGTATTTCACTTTCTTGATTTTTTTGTTCCTTCTTTTATACTCCAGGGCTAACACTGTTTAGGAATAATATAATTGAGACAGCATCATAAAAATAAAATCAAGAATGCTCAAATATTGAAGTGTGAAACATACTTGACAACCTTTTAATTAATTTTTATTATTATAGTACGATGATATATTTCACAACTGTGACATACCATTTATTATTATTCCCAGGTTGGTGACAATGATTTAATGAAAAAAGAAATGCTTACATTGTACAGCAAAGCATGATGTAAGAAATCATTTTACAAAAAAATCTCATCCGAAATTATGATATTATGACACTCCAAAAAAAAAAGACAATTTATTTGGTAAAAAGGAATCTTGAGTTATTGACCATGACAGGACAGTAGATGATAGAAGAGAGACATACAGAATCCTTGATTTTTTTTTATAATAATAATAATACAATTTTGATAACAGAGCATGGGTCAACATCTGGGATTTCAAAAAATCACCATGTTTACATTACATGTGGAAATTATTAAAATAAATAATATCCATGTTGGCATGCGACAAATTCTGTGGAAAATAATATTACCAATTAAGTCCCTATTTTTTTATTTTATTTTGGCTACTTTTAGATCTAAGAAATTTCTAAAACCATCTTGTTTTTCACCTCAAACTTCACCAAGTGTTTACCAGCAAAACACACACACACACACACACAGAGTCCCAAGACTCGATCTTTAAAAGCTTAACTAACAAATTGGTGTTGTAGACTAAAAAAGAAATGAAAAAAATCCCATCTTGGAAACTCAGATAACGAGGCGAAAAAGAATAGTACACATGAAAATTCGAATGAATAATTTTATTGACATTGTTGAATGAGAGAGAAGCTAAAGCTAGCAGAGGCTTACCAAGGAGAGGCCTGAAAGTTTCCCAAATGTTGTTGAGACTTTGTTTTCTTGCAGGCCGCCGAGTTTCAAGAAAATGGTGGAACGAAGAGCAAAAGTAAAGATAATGTGAGGAGAGAGAGAGAGAGAGAGAGAGAGTTGAATTGGTGCGAGTAGCTGCTGCACTGCAGTTCCCAGGCTTCGTGTTTTTTGGTCAGAGAGAGAGAGAGAGAGAGAGAGGAAATCGACAGAGGGTGACTGGGACTATTGTTTATATTAATGGTGCGTTTGGATGTGAAAAAATCATTAAATTAAAAACAACAGTAAATTGAAGAAAAGGAAATATGGGATAGTTTCCCTAATCTGACATTATTTATATGGGTAAATGTAGTAACTATTTGTCACATCATATAAATATATATATATATTCTTTAGTACAATTATGATTGGGGTGGAAAAAATTGGATGAATTTTTAATAATTGTTTTCTTATTTCTTTCAAAATTTACATTTATAACATCAATATTATTATTTATTGATGTTAATATGTGCGAATTGTATATGAAGTGTAAAATATTCAATTGCAAATAGAATATTCAATCATAATTTTTTTTCTACATTAACAAAAAAAAGAGGAATATTAGCCGACCGGAATCGAAAATTGCAAATTTGTGATCCCGAATTTCAATTTTCCCCTCTATCCAAACACAACCGCAATCGGCTGCAGCTCACGCTCCTAATCACGCGCCTTTAAGTGGCATTTGAATTTTTATTATTTCCTTAATAAATAAATACGAAGCCACCAGAAATAACAGATGTGTTGAGTTTAGTTGGTGAATGGTAAATCAATTGACCTCTGACCACTTGAGTGTGAAATTTCCTAGGCCAAATAAATGCCGAATCATTTATCAACCCCAAAAGATTCTAAATATCAAAATAAAGATTAATAGGCAATAAATTCTTATTTTCTTAAAAAAAAATTGTGTGAGAAACTATTAGTAATTAATTAATACATCTTACAATTATAATCAATGAATGTATAAACTTTGTCAAATGTGCACATTAAATAATGATGTTTGTTAGTCAACGTTGTGTACGAGACTATGAGAGCAAAACTAGTTTGATTCCTCACTTGGCATACCCATCCAACTTCCAAGAGTTTGACTTCACTTTAATTAAGACACTCCCCATTAACAATTCTTGTAATGATTTAATCTTCATATATATAGGGGCAAAGTACACCCACCCCTGAGTTCCGGTCAAATTTAGAAAACACCCTTATTGCTTGGGTAATTACAGTCACCCATCAACTATGTATTATCTTACAAAAAAACCCCTCTATAAGTAAATGTATGGATATTAAATCGGTAAATCCGAAACGAAATTTCAGTACCCCAACAGTTCATACCGTTTACCGAACTAAATATACAATTTGGTTCGATAAATAACCGAATTACATAAATTTTATGTTAAAATATTTAAAAGGAGGGGGTGGCTGTAATTACCCAAACAAAATGGATTGTTTTTCGTAATTTGACCATACCTCAGCGGGAGGCCGTAATTTGCCCCATACACATATATATATATATATATATATACATATATATATATATATATATATATATATATATATATATATATATATATATATATATATATATATATATATATATATATATATATATATATATATATATATATAT